CGCAAAATATCATTTGACTAGAGGTGAATCTGAATCTAAGGAGAAACTAGTTCTCTTCTAGGCTTTTGCTACTGACATCTGGCATCTGGCATCTCACCAAATTGTGAGGCAGTGTTGGGCAATGGTTAAGAGAATAGGTCTGATACACAGCTGTCCATTTACTAGCTGTGTAGTTTTGGGCAAGTTACTCATCTGCTCTGTGCCTGAGTTTTCTCATCCATAAAATGAGATCCAAAATGTTTTCACAACCAAAAAACTTTTATAACCACTAGGCAGCAAAACCTAACCCACCTGAACTTATTTAATGGTGATAATGACCAGACAGGAAGTTATGCATTATTTTTGTCTATCTTGTGGTTTAAATATTTACATTTTTTCCTGCAGAAATATTAATGTGTGTGATTATGGAATCTAGTTTCAAGATTTTTCGAGAGGGACTATTGACCAATAGTGTCTGCCTCATGGTTTTTCTTTGAGTATTAAATGAGTTAATATATATATATATATATATATAAGTGCTTAAAACAATATTTGGCACATATTAAGTCCTCCATAAGAGTTAGCTCTGATTTTTAACTTGTCTGCATAGGTTTTACTCTCAAGGAATAACTCATTAAGACAAGCACCTACTGTGTGCTAGACCTGTCTTAAGCCCTGGGGACATGGTAATTTTTTTCACCAAGATGGGCATAATTCCCTCCTTTATGTAGATAATAGTCTCCATTAATTTAACAGAAAATTAAAATAAAGTGAGATGATCGTTGTTAATAGAGGAGGAATTGGGCATTAAGGGACCATACAATAGTTTAGTGGTGGGTAAGGTTTCACAAAGAATTGATGATTGAGGTGAGACATAGAAGTTCACCAGGTGAACAGATAGGAGAGGACTATTTCAGGCAGAGGAAGGAGCTTATGTGAAGACTCAGAGGAGAGGTGAAGGATTTGGGTTCTTGTTCCCTTGGTTTGTGTATCCTTACACCCTCCAAATGATAGAAATGAGTTTCCCTAACCCACTTCTCTCCCCAGGACCAGAGCTTGTCATTTTGGGGAAGATCATTGAAAACTGAAGGGAAAGAGAAGCAAAGGGGAATGTACGAGGGTACTTCACAAAATGTATGGAAAAATAGAGTTAAAAGATAATACGAATCTTTCCATGACCTTTTTGAAGTACTCTTGTATGTTATCAGTAGGTTGCTCCGGAAAGGAAAGAGGCAGCGCCTGGATTGTCCAGACCATGCCAGTCTCACCAGTCTGGAAAACTGCTCCTTAGGCAAGTTGCTTGGTGGAGTGTCAAGATGTCTTAAGATTTTTCCATCTCCACATTGGAGGAAACAGTAGGAATGAAGCATGTCCCATCCCTAACTCCCTAGTACCATTCTGAGGCTGTTGCTTTTAATCACATGTGAGATAGGATATTAGATCTTCATGCTTTTAAAATTCCCTCTAGTACTGGTCAGCTGCCAAAACAAAAACAAAAACAAAATAAAATCTCCTCTAAATTAAAAATAAAATATATGCGGAATAGTGGCCATGAGACTCTCCTCTAAGTACCTAGTACCATGCTTCACATACAGCAGGCAGCTGGCACATGTTAGTTGCCCATATGCATTTTCCCATGAAGTATACTTTAAAAGAAATGGATGAATACTCCATAATCTCAAATGCTTTATTATTTTAAAGTTGAATAATTATTTCATAATATAATGTGAAAATTAACTTAAAGTACTGCTAAAATTAACTTAAGGTACTGCTAAAATTCCCGGTATTGATAACACTTTTCAATTTCAGTTATTTTATATATCTCATATTTATTCTTCAGTCTAATTTATGGGTTATCTTGGCTACTTTTTTATTCCTTTCATCCTGCATTACAGCTTTTGGCTTGCTACTACTCACATACATTGACAGAAAGTAGAAAGGAAAATTGAGAAGAGAAATGATTTAAATTTATCCTTTACTGCTAGTGTCGATTCTTACATCACATCAGTCATGAGTCCTGCTTTCTACATTAAAAAATATAGAGTTAAGGGCCGGCCCGTGGCTCACTCGGGAGAGTGCGGTGCTGATAACACCAAGGCCACGGGTTCGGATCCTATATAGGGATGGCCGGTTTGCTCACTGGCTGAGCGTGGTGCTGACAACACCAAGCCAAGGGTTGAGATCCCCTTACCGGTCATTTAAAAAAAATAAAAAATAAAAAATATAGAGTTAAACTAATAGCTTAAATGAAAATTGTAAAAAATAAAAGACAGGATTTAATGTTTCATATGCATATTGTATTCAGTATTATGGTGAATAATTCATATTAAAGTTTTAAAAAATTCCTCTTTATAATTAAGCATTCATTATCTGTAATAATGAGCTTTTCCAAGACGTTTTTCACAAACTACCTTATTACAGGTTGCATTATCCCTCCTCGTGTCCCCCTCCCCCTTCAACTGACACCCCCCACCTTCTGTAGGAGCAGCGCTACTGTTCCCCTCCACAGTGCGGAAGGGAAGGAATGACGCTGCTCACGCAGTTCATCGTGAGAAACCATACTTGCTATTTTCCCATAAATAACATGTTATTTTGACAATTTTTTACTAATTGATTTTAAACAGATGTTTATTCTAAATTTGCCTTGATTAGAGATAACCAATATCACTTCCTTAAATATTATGTTTTGAAGAGACACAAATAAAATTATTCTTTCATCTGCTTTCAATTCTTCATATGTTTGTTCCTGTTGAGAGAAATTATGTCTTTACTCAGCCTTTATATTTGAAAGGCTTTTCCCCTTGTCATCTTTCACTTTCATTTTTATAGGCAGTTCCCATAATTAGACAGATGAAATAAAAAGTGAGGAATCCACTTTAGCAAACTGAAATTAGAGTAACTGTATTTGTTGGTATCTACTTTTTTATAAAAGAGTTTTGTTGGAAATACCTGCATTGCATAAGTATCAAATACATGTGAATTATATAAAGTAGATTTTTGTGGTTTACACAGTTCTTAGGACCTCTAGGATTTCTGTTGTCAAGATGAATTATAATCCTCATTTTATGATACTCTCTCATTAAAAAAAAATCAGTCTGTGTATGGGCTACTCTTAATGTTCTTAAGGTTTTCATACCACTTGTGTACCCAACACCCAAAACAAAAGCTAGGATCTTGGCAATAACCTGTATCTAACCAAATGATTCTCCTTCTTCCTCCTGGTTCCCCGTGACACAGGTAGCCATTTTTCTCAATTCAGTGTTTACCAGTTCCTTCCTTCTTTTTTTACATATATTTTTTTACTATATCTATGTGTATTCTCAAGTATATTTTAAATTTGTTTTTACTTCTGTTAAAAAGGATGTCAATACTGTATGTAATCTCTGCTATGTATTTTTTTAAACTTACCATTCATTGTATTACTAAAATGCTCTGTGTTGTGTGTTGTATTTCATTCATTTTGACTGCTGTATAATAGCCCAAGGGGATGAGGTTTATTTATATACTCTTCCCTTGTCTGAGAATTAAGTTGTTTCTGGGGGTTTATAATTGTGAGTAGCTCCTATGAGAATTCCTGTACATGCCTCCTGTTTTTACCTACGAGAGATTGTTAGAAATAAAATTACTGGCCATAGAACATATAGATTTTCAACTTTAGGAGATAATGCCAAGCTGTTTTCCAGAGCAATTGCACCAATTTGTGCTCATACCAACAGTGTCTAAGAGACCCTATAGATCCATATCCTCTCTAGCACTTGGTATTGACAGACTTAATTTTCGTCAATTAAATGAATATAAAATTATATCTTATTAATTTTTATTTTTTATGTTTATTAGGCATATTTATTTCCTTTTTTGTGAAATGTCTTTTCATAAGTTTTTGTCCATTTTTTTTCCTAAACTGTTTATATTAACAATGTGTTAGGGCCGGCCTGGTGGCGCACTGGAGAGTGCGCCGCTTGGGAGTGCGGCGGCGCTCCCACCGAGGGTTCGGATCTCATGTGGAGACTGGTTCCCGCTCACTGGCTGAGCGCGGTGCGGGTGCAACACCGAGGGTTGCGATCCCGTTGCTGGTCCCCGGTATGGGTGCGACACCGAGGGTTGCGATCCCGTTACCGGTCAGTAAAAAAGACAAAAAGGAAAAACAAACAAACAAACAATGTGTTAGGCATTCTTTATTTATTCCTGATACTAACCTTTTATTGGAAGTATGTGTTTGAATACATGTTCCCAGTTTGTAAGCTGGTCTTTTACTTTCTTCAAGATATCTTTAATGACCAGAAATTCATAATTTTATTTTAATCAAAATCTATTAATCTTTTATGGTCCATACCTTTTTGTGACTTAAGTAATCTTTCTCTAAACCAAGGTATAAAAGATATTCGCCCATACTTTCTACTAAGATAGTTAATAGCTTATTTTTTTAACACTTAAGACCTTAATCCCTCTAGAGTTGATTTTTGTTAATTGAGTGAAGTAAGGATTCAACTTCATCTGTTCTTTTTCATAAAGATTATTTTTTATTTTTTATTTTTTTTCCTTTTTATCTTTTTTTACTGACCGGTAACGGGATCGCAACCCTCGGTGTCGCGCCCGTACTGGGGACCGGCAACGGGATCGCAACCCTCGCTCGGTGTTGCGCCCGCACCGCGCTCAGCCAGTGAGTGGGAACCGGTCTCCACATGGGATCCAAACCCTCGGTGGGAGCGCCGCTGCGCTCCCAAGCGGCGCACTCTCCAGTGCGCCACTGGGCCGGCCCTTCATAAAGATTATTTTAAAATCTCCATCTATTGTACAGTTTCTTTTTACTCCAATGGTCTGATTTACCACCTCTGTCATATATCAAAGTTTCATAAATGCATGGATTTATTTCTAGACTTTTTATTCCATACTGTTCAAATTGTGTGTGTGAGCGTGTCTCTGTGTGTGTGTGTGTGTGTGTGTGTGTGTGTGTATTCATCTTTGAATTTTAAACACACACATACATAACTAGATTTTAAATACTTTGGTTTTTCCCCTAGGTTTTGGACATAGTAAAAGCAAGTATTCGTGCAGTTCTTCCACGCATCTGGAAGGTACCTGATATTGAGGAATTAAATTTATATCGGATTTTCAACCGGGTTTTTAATCGCTTGCTCTGGAGTCATGGCCAAGGACTGTGGAACTGTTTCTGTGATTCGGGGTAAGTTCTAAGTCATCTTTTTATTGTAATTTTTAATGTTTTACTATTAGGTTATAGAGGTAGCCCAATATAATGGTTGAATTTCTTTAATGATCTTTTAAACTATGGATTTTTTGCTGTATGCAATTTTTAGTACTCAACTATAATTTATATCAATTAAGTTGATTTATATAAGATGATGAATATGAATACAACATCTAACTAATTAGAATTCAGTGGAGAGAAGGTAGTCTTAATGAAAAAAATATCAATTATAAACCAATATCCTTAAAGTTTTTCTGTTGTTGCCTTTATGTAGCAAACATCTAAATTCTGGCTACACTCCTGTTTTTCTCTAGCATTCCATTGCTGCCAAGGCTGCTGTGACTCTTTATCATTTAGCCTCAAGACATGTAAAACCAAACATTCCATACCATTTTATTTGGAAATGGCTTCCCTTCTTGTTTTCTCTTAATCCTGTTGTTATTCTTCCAATCATATAGTGTTGATATCTCAGGGGCATCTGCATCTTCTTTCTCCTTCATTGCCTTTATTTAATCATTTGCTAAATCCTGTTAGTTTCTCTGTAACATTCCCACTGTGGCTACTCTATATTGTTTTCATTCATTTTTCCAACAGTTAATTATCTTACTCCTTACACAGTACTTACTAGTTACACAGTAACACGTTAGATACTTTTGGAGATACAAAGTTGAATCTGGCACAAATCCTGCCCTCAAGAAATTTAACAATGAAAATAGCTAACTATATTAGTTACTCTGTGCCAGTCATTTTTCTCATCACTTTACATGTGTTAAGTGAGTTAATCTTCTTAACATCACTTTGTGTTAGGTTCTGTATTATCTCTGTTTAATAGTACTGAGACACACAGATAGGTACTTAGAAGGACCTAGTGGAACTAGGATTGAACTCATTTAGCTTTGACCAGAGTTCATGCTCTTAGCCAATAAAATCTGATGCCTCTAGTAGACACCTTTGATATATACAAAGGTAATCATTATAAAAGAGACACAGATAATGTATGATAGGATTTCAGACAAATCTTTTTGGTGGAAGAGCTAAGTGAAATTAATTGATTTCTAGGCATCTTTGCCTTCAATTTTTTGTCTCCTTTTTCCATCTTACTGTCAGGATCATTTCCTCAAATCTGTATTTCCCTCATTTATCATTGAAGTATAAACTTCTTATCTATAGATACAGGACTCTCAAAAATGCTGATTCTTTTTTCTTTCTCCAGTCTTCTCTCTCATTACTCTCCTACTTGAACTCTGCTCCAGAAAAACAAATTATTTTTCAAATATCTTCAAAATTTGTCCTTTTCTTTCTCTGAACTGTCGATGGACTGCTTTCCACAGCCTTGTCCCTCCAGTTCCTTCTGCATCATTTGAATCCTATGAAGAGACCCAGACTATACCTCTTCTGTAAAACCCTAACAGACTGTCCTACTGTGAAATGATCTGTGAATGTCCTCCATTTCAATACTCTAGCCATATGATACTGAATTATTCATACCATTTGCAGATTCATTCTTACTACCATATTTTTTTCTCAACTGCCATTCACCAACAGGGAGAATTCATAAGGCATTCTGGGGTGTGATAAAATCTGAGAATAATCTTAGCTATAAATTATTTTCACAGAGACTTAAGTGAAACATTTGAACTGTACTCCATAGACCCTCAGGTGATGGCTCTCTGTAAAAGTTCTCCCAATCTGAACTCATAGTTGGAATTTTTTTCTGTTTATTGAGCCATTGGTTTGATGCTGTATGTGAATCCCAACTACTCTCCACCATGGAAGGGAGTGCGTCTATTACTGAAATTGGTGGTAACGGTTTTGAGTCTTTGGATAATCTCTAATGCCAGACCCTAAAGATGCCCATAAAGTGGTACTTCTTTACATCTAGGACTCCTCTTTCCTGAGCTATTTCACTAACATAGTCTAATTTGTCTCAGAGTAATTTTCTCCTGTCCCTGGCACAACAACCTCTCCTGCCCCCCAAACTTCTCTAGTGGTATCTATTACTTACTACTAGTAATTATAGTGATAGTAAATAACATTTATT